CGCCGCATTTCGAGTTGATTGTGATTTATAAAGGGAAACCGGCGTAGGACGTGCGTGCGCAGTGTTTTATAAATCGGAATATTTGTGTTGTAGTGCCGAGGACATGGAGTCGGAGGCGGTGCAATGGAGATGTGAAAGGGTACTTTAATAGAGAACAGAATAAGACATGTTGTCGGGTCGCAGCCCGGGTCGACAAGAGAAAGAGCCAAGAGGGCACACACTATATATAAGTAACCCATAACATGTCCGTGTGGGAACAATAACCGCAACTGTAGTTCCTAGTTTGAATTGTGTCCCAGTGGTTAAATAGGTGGTCACTACACAAGCCCCCCCAGAATTCAAACAGGGCAAAATAAATCCTCGCGCCCGTGGAGGAAGCACCATAGGGGCCGACGAGGGTGTGGTCGCAGGTGAGGACCGGGCCATGGAACGGGCCACGAAAGGGGGCCGCAGGAGCGGTTAGGGGCCCTAACGAAGCCGAGGGGACCCCCACCGGGGGCGGGCCGGAACGGGCCGTCGTAAGGGGGCCGCAGTAGGTGTCGTGGAGAACCCAACAGGAAAGAGCGCAACCCGGCCGCAGGCAGACGCACAACGGCGGCGGGCACAAAGTCCTCAGCAGGCGTTGAGGTATCCCCGGGAAGCAGGAGAGCAACCCGGCCGCAGGCAGACGTGCCGCGGCGGCGAGGCATGAAGTCCTCAGCAGGCGCTGAGGCGTCCCCGGGAAGCAGGAGAGGCCAGACGGGGCCCAGGAGTCGACCACCCAGGCGTCGATGAAAACGTGAGTGGCGTCTGGAACCGCCGTCGTGGTGGTGAAAAAGGTGAGTGTCCACATGAGGTCAACCGGCTGGTCGAACCTCCTCTCCGGCACCAGAAAAAGGTGGTTAACAGTCAGATGTTAACAGAAATACGTCGACAGCCATTAACAGCCAGCCGTCAGCACCAGTCGTCAGCACCACGCGGTTAGCCGCTAGCTGGCAGCCATGGGTAGCTGCTAGCTGTCGTTAGCCCCACGTTGTTAGCAGCCGGGACGTGCAGCCGCACGCCCCGAAGAACAAACCCTATGAGGTAGCAATGGGGTTGCTGGTCGACCCAGCAGGTCGTGCATGGTCCCCCCGTTGGATAGAAAGCCGATGCGGAAACAGCGAGTAACGTCTCCAGCCTTCCGTGGAGCGCGCACCGAGCCTCAGTCCGTGTGCCGGTGGCAGCCACGGACGTCTCCAATCAAACCCCGGCATTTCGAGAAAGGAACTCGAGTTCCTTTTGCCGTGTTCGGCTCCGTCCAGGAAACTTCCCAAGACGTATCGGGGTCACCAGTGTAGTGCCGAGGATATGGAGTCAGAGGCGGTGCAAGGAAGGTGCAGGGTCGCAGCCCGGGTCGACAAGAGAGAGAGCCAAGAGGGCACACACTATATATAAGTAACCCATAACATGTCCATGTGGGAACAATAACCGCAACTGTAGTTCCTAGTTTGAATTGTGTCCCAGTGGTTAAATAGGTGGTCACCACAGGATATGGTGCCTTAAAAAAAAACTTATTTTCTAGTGAGATGTATTTTTATATTCATATAATAGTGATTTCAATGCCACCCCAAAATGATCACTGGTTCCATCCTGGCCACCCCACTGAACATGTCCTGGCTCCGCCACTGACTGCCGCTCCAACATCCAATCACAGAGCTTGAGGACTAATCACAGGCTTTGTAAAGCGAGGCGGATGTTGTAGTCCCAAACGATAGCTGGGGATTCTGGGTAGTGTAGTGTCTTCGGAAACTCTGTAGTGTCTAAACTCCGAAAAAACAATTTGTTTCTCCGAATCGAAGGTTAAAAACACAAAAGCATTGTACACAATTTAAACCAATCAATATTGTGTAATTAACAAGGATAAACTGATGTTTTTTAGTGGATGAGTAATGCAGATATCACTGTGTAATCATTTGACAGTGAGAGGAATACTTCCGGNCACAATATATACATAAATATATGACATGGATTATTAATATTAAATATTAAATATTGAACAGATTATATATAATTGTAAAATGTACAACGTGGTTTTATTCCAAGAGAAACTATGGAGCAGAGAGTTTTCTTCCAGCTAGAGGTGATTTATTGTACAGTGTTATTGCGGTGGGCGGGAATGTTTTCCTGTATCGGTCCTTGTGACAGCGGAGCTGCAGCAGTCTGTTGGAGAAGGAGCTCCGTTGACTGTCCA